TTAAATAGCTTTAATCCTCGTAAGCTATTTCACATAGGGACATTGGGTGCATCACCATTAACTCTCCTTTGGGTAGAGAAAATAACATGCTATTAGGGTCCCAACCACAACATTATAGGCAATAAACAATCAAAGTAGCTTTAAAACCTGATAAGCTAAACCTTATAGGGATTCCTGGTGCATCATCATTAACTCCACTTTAGCAGAAAAAATGACATGCTATCAGGGCCCTGTACGCATAAGGTTATGAAAATAACTAATAAGAACATATGACATTCAAAAGACTATCCCCTTTTTGGGTAGATAAAACTTTTTAGGCCACTCTTCATCCTCCACTTAATAGGAAAATACATGTCAATGAAAAATCAATCACTTTTAAGTGTATTGAATTTTTCAAGACCATTGAATTTTTCAAGACCAGTGCATTTCCAAAAATTAACCTTATGCAACCATTAATTTTTAGCACAAATAATAACCACCTTTGGGCAAGAAATTATATGCATAAAAAATGAAGAATGTATCATTTACCAAATGAATAATTTTGCAAGCTTCAATGAATGCACCGCTTTGGCAATTAAACATTCTGGTGATACTAAGTAATATTGTCAAAAACTAAAATAATGTATCATTTATCGAATAAAAAATTTTGCAAGCTTCAATGAACATATCGCTTTGGCAATTAAACATTTTGACAATTCACTAAATTTGTTCTAATGATACTAAATAATATTGTCATAAATATTAAGATTTCATGAGATACACACTTAATTATCTTTAACAAACTTAATTCAATAATTGTTATATTTTAATTGTCATAATTAAGATTTCATGAGATATAATACCCAATTATCTCGGGCAATCTTAATTTAATCCTGTTACATTTTAATTTAGTGAACAGTAATTTTTTCCCTTAGGTTTATACTCCAACTATGTACATAGTTAACCTCATATGACAATGTTGAGAGTATAAGATATAAAACATAGTACAAGGGGAGTGTAACATGCCACAATATTCAACCAATAGTGTAATAACGTATTTAATAGTGAAATAATTTTCACAAATTTTCCAGAATTTTCCTAGCAATATTCATCATAAAAAATATTAAAAAAATCAACCATTACATATTAATAACGTATTTAATATTTCTCCATAATCAAAAATTATGAAATTGCTCCAATAATTCTAAATTAATATTAGAAAAATCCTGAAAAAACTATAGCTCAAAAAACAGCCCTATAGGCTCCTCACGTGCCACCACGTGTGCGTGGGGTCCAATTGGAGCATCCAGTCAGGTCTACGGGTTAGCTGACCCGGGTCTAGGTCTAGTTGACCTGGTTTTGACTTGGTTTGCCCATTTGACCATGTTTTAATCGGTTGACCCTATTGATCCAATTGACTTGACTTGCATTGACATTGGGTTGGTTTGACCTGTTTTGACCATTTTATGCAGTTTGACCCAATTTTGACCTGTTTTGGCAATAATTACAGTGGCCGCATAAACTTTTTTTTATTCTTTTAGCGCCTAAATGTTTGAAATATGACAATTACACCCCTTTAATATGAAAATTCCAAATCGTGTTTCTACGACACCAACAACCAAAAATTACAACCAGAAATTGTAGAGAAAGGGTTTAGGGTTCGTCGGTCGATTTTTGCCTAATATAGGGCTCATTTCTAAATTTCAAATTTTAAATAACTTTCATTAATTTTTTTGCCCACATATGTTTAAATCTTTTCATTTTAATCCATTTTACTTGTTTAATGAATCCTAACTGTGCCATGTCAACTTTTCTAAATTAAAAAAAAAATCAAAAAATATTTTCAAGGCCATTTTGTTAAATGGAAACTTGGGATGTCCGGGGAGTGCTATTCCTCATCTCTAATGGCCGGAAAAGGTCTTCTAGTGGCCGAAAAACAACAAATCAATCAACACACAACACATTCAAGCAATATAATCATCAATGAACTTCAAGGAATCTAGAATGCCAAAGAAAAGTTTAGAAAACCCATGGACACTTCTCAGCTTATGCAAGGGAGATAATGAGTTTTTCGTGATTGATTGGTAGCTCGTGTGGATTTGGACGGGAAATTGTTGGGTTCAATTCGACAATTTAAAATTTAATCCCAAAACTTTAGAATTTGGATTATCAACCCTAAATTGTAATTTTTCCCAAATTCAATTAAGAACCCTAATATAAAAATTAAGCCAAACCCATATTTCAATCCCAGCTTTTGTGAATGCAGCCGTAATGGATATTGAGGTCCTAGATAACAAGATCAGTGTGTTAGCCCCTGTTTGTTACACTATTCTTGATCATTATTCTGTCATCATATTTAGATTAAAAAACAGAATATGTGTTTGTTTATTTATTGGGTCAATTCATTCAAAAAATTAATCCAACTCAAATAGGATTTTTTGTCTAAAAATAAAAAGTGGGTGGGACTTGTTTTCAGATTATCGATTTTATTCAACTCAAAACGTTTTTCCAACTCTATTCAACCAAACATAATTACCTTTCCAATCTGAAAATTAATCCACCCAAGACCACTATCGCTGCTGTCGTTGGGAGCCACCACGAGTCATCGTGGCCAAAACAACATAAGACCGACCAAATCTGGTCGGTCGTGTACCGATCTGGCTGGGAACAACTAGATCTATGGCCAGATCTACCTGTTAATGATGGCCAAATTTTGGTTGTTAACGATGGCCAGATCCAACTAATCGTGCGCTATTCCGGCAATTGCCAATTGCCATCCAATGGTGGTGGCCGACAGTTGGCTATCCTCTTGGGTGACTGGGTTACTTTAGTTAATTTTTAAACTTTTATTGTGGGAGTGTTCAGCTAAATTAAAAAATGAATGCAATCAAGAATAAGTATTGAATTCAGAATATTAATGACCTATAACTTCACATGCATCTACTTGAATGGCCCTTACGATTCATGATATTCATGAATATATATGGAACTGATGAGATTATTGGTTTCATAAGCTCTGATTATTGCAGAAAAACCAAAACAGTTTACTCAGAGTTATTAATATGTATGATATTCTTGGTGTTTCGCTTTTTCTTTTCTGGAGTCCTTGTCTTCAAAATTTCAAACTCTGATAAATTATTTTCAGCTCTCTTTGGAAATTGTAGCTCAAAACTGATATAAGAAGCTATTCTCCTATAGTCTTATGGGACGAGGGAATCTGTTGACTGAAAGCACTGAGAAAAATGGGAAAAGCAAATACTCCGAGAATTTGCCCCCACAAAATTTGTCTCTGTTAGGCTTTTCACCGGCGTGAAGAAAACGTCGAAAGGGAGGCTGATTCCTTCAATGCAAAAGCCCCGCATAAAAAATTACCCCAAGCAACGAAAGCAACTTATCTATGGCGGAGTCTTGGAACAAGTCATTAAGTTCTGTTAGTTGCAAGTAAAAGCTAAGACCAATTGAAGATAGTTTATAGGTAAGAAAGGCTAATCTCTCGCATGAAAATATGTCGATGAAGCAACCAATTTGTTCACCTTGTTATCACAATGTTGAGTTAGATATGATGGTAAAACCAATTTCTTCCTTTTTACCTGATTCAAGATAGGACCATTTGACCCTACTGGTTCTACCATTTTATCTGACTCAAATTCGACATATAGCATGAACAAAAAGCAAAAAAATCTGCGTTAATTTAGACTCATCATCAAAGTTTTGGAAAGACAAAAATATTTACTTGTAATTTACCTAACATTTTAAAGTAAAAATAAAGTCCGTATCTTTTTTCATTTCAAGTGTATTTATCGTAGTTTATTTAAGAAGATAGTATGGATCTTTTTTGCAGTGAAAATTGGCTTGAAAGATGAACAAATATATCTTTCATTAATTAATGCAAATAGGAAGTAAATGATCAAAATGGAGAGACAGGGCACGTACAGAGATTTCCAGCCTCACCCTGAGACTTGTGTCAATCTTGGTAAAGGGCTAAGGGCCAACTATATAAAAGCGATTTCATTGATGTTTTATTAATGTTAGAAGTTGAATTTGCCCCATATCACTCTAATAGTAGACTATTATGATGTATACAAATGATTGGGCTTTCTCCCCACTTGAGTTAGCTTTAAGGAGTGAGTTCTACCCAAGCTCCTCCACTTTGTCTTGGTATCAGAGCCACATTTGTTTGTTAGGGCGGATGATGGGTTTGGATGTTTCTCTCCCCTCTTTGGTTAAGGCCTCACACGTTAAGTGTAAGAGTGTTAGAAGTTGAATTTATCTCACATCGTCTCTGGTGTATATAAGTGGTTGGGCTCTCTCCTCCCTTAAGTTAGCTTTTGCAAGTAAGTTCTACCCAAACCCAATTTATCAATTAAAATCTGCTATGAGCCTATACAGAAGTTGCAACCAAAGGCCTTCAAGTTTATAAAATCTGCCAACTATTAGATTTTACTTTTGCTAGAGACACCATAATTATTAAATGTTCAACAACCTGTATTTGCAGCACTCTCACAACAATTTTCATCTTCAAAATGCATACAAAAAACAAGGTCCACTTCTTATAATACTTTCATGTGGTGATTAAAGTACACTAGACGACATATCTCCAAACGTAAAAAAGATCTAGCAATATATCCTTATAACACTACCAAATTTTTCCCCAAGGCAACCCAAAAAACGACAATATATATACCTCCATCTTTTGTTGAAAAGCAAAGGACCTATGAAACTCCAAAAGCCCACCACAAATCCGAGTGCCATGCTCACATAGAACCAGTCCATTTCATGCTCACTACCATCTCTATTTTTGTTCTCAGGTTTTGGAACAATCACAATATAATTCTGAAGTGGAGGTCCACAAAGTTCATTGCCAATAAAAGAAGAGGCATCAAAGCTCTGTAGTTGAGTGCTTGAAGGAATTTTCCCAATCAGGTTGTTGGTCGATAAGTTCAAGCGGCTCAAAGATGTCATATTTGAAATGCTCTGTGGGATTTCACCAAAAAGATGGTTTGTAGATAAATCAAGTGTCTCTAATGTCTCATATGACCAAGAGTTTCAGGAATTCTTCCGGTATAAGAATTGTGTGACAGATTAAACGTTTGCAATGCTCCCAGATTTGTCACTTCTACAGGTATCTCTCCTGAGAAGCTATTATGAGAGAGGTCTACAAGCCTTACCAAATTAAGAGTGGTGTGATACTGTAACATAATCCCTTTTACCACAACAGATGTATCCTCAACAAACTGAGTTGGAGTAACATCTGAATATATAATTCTGTTTCTTATTCCAGAGAAGTTTATTCTCAACAGGGCACTGATGTTACTGATACAGCTTGGTATAGTTCCAGAAAGGTTGTTGTAAGCAAAGTCTAGGACTTGTAAAAACACAAGATGGCAAAGTTCAATCGGCAAAAGTCCACGAAACTTGTTTGAACGAAGGTTGAGAATAATCATATTTGAAAAACTTTTCCCAATCCATGTTGAAAGATTTCCAACCAATTGATTTTCACCTAAATCAAGTACCAATAACTCTGTACAAGTTTTTAGAGATAAAAGCACTGAGCCAGAGAGGCTGTTGTTGCGAAGGTGAAGGGACTTGAGAGAACTTAAAGTTCCTATGGAGACAGGAAGGATGCCGGTGAAGTTATTGTTATCCAAATCCAGGACAGATAAGGATTGCAAATTCATCCAACAATCAGGTAACTCTCCATATAAAATGTTATATCTAAGGTTGAGAACTCGAGTTGCCCTTGATTCATTTTTCCCAGAACACAAAAATTGAGAAATGGATCCTGACAAACTATTGTTGGAAAGATCTAACTGAATTAGATTGGAGGATACCATTGGCAATGGACCTGAAAATTTATTAGAACCCAAGTCAAGAAACTCCAATTTGGTGACCTCACTCAAATTTGGAATCTCCCCATGGAGATGGTTGTGAGAGAGATTTAAAAGGTTAAATTGGTGGATAGAATTCCAAAACCACCTAGGCACTGTATCTGATATTCCTGCATTTGATAAATCTAGGTACTCTAAATGTTTTTGTGAGTGAACCCATGAAGGAAATTGAGGCCCTAAATGACAAGATCCCAAATATAATTCTTGAAGTTGAAAAGAAGGAACCCAATCAGGACTTACTTTGAGTGCCAATGAGTTTTCATTTGCAACATAACTCCACAGCTTTTTGAGTTTAGTAAATTGAATCTGCCAAAGAGTTCCATTCAGTTTGTTATAGGAAATATCTAGGGCTTCTAATGATTAAAGTTCTCCCAACGAAGATGGAATAGGACCAGAAATAGAGTTGTGAGCCAAATAAAGAAAATGCAAACTTTTAAATTGCCCAAGTTGATTGGTCAAATGACCAGAAAGTTGATTGTAACTTAAATCCAGTAACTCTATTCTATCTGTAACACATGCAGAGAGAATATCTAAGATCTCAGATATCTCTTGACTCAAACTAAGCATTGACAGAAAAATTGACCGCAAGTTGCAAAGTCTACCCAACGATTTTGGAATTTTTCCTTCAAATCCATTGATGGAAAGATTAAGGTAATCGATGGAAGTCAAGTTTCCTAGAGCAGCTGAAATTGTACCTTGCAACATGTTGCCTCTGAGAGCAAGGTGCTTAAGATGGTTAAATTTGTACAACCAGATGGGTATTGAAGAATTGAAACTGTTGACAGATAAATCAAGAAACTCAAGAGAAGTCAAGTTCTGAAGTCCAATGGGAATCGGACCTTGGAAATCATTAGATTTTAAATCAAGGAATACTAAATTACCAAGACTGAAAACCCAAGAAGGAATCGAAGTGTTCAATAGGTTGTTAGAAAGATCAAGTTTGGTAAGAGATGAAAAATTTGCACTGGTTATAGGAGGAAACTGATCAAGTTGGCAATATGGCGATCGTAACACTACCAAAGAAGGGAGTGTATTTATAACCTTCAACCAATGATCATTGACTTTGGTAAGATCCACGAAGTCCAAATCCAGATACTTCAACGATAACAGGTTAGATGCCACCAAAATTTCTCAATGTATGTATGGGGGTTGCGACCGAGGTCAAGATACTGCAGATTGGAGAGATTTCCAAGTTGGTGAGGAACCATCCCCTGAAATTCATTGTTAGAGAGATTAAGATATCTTAATTTCTCTATTGAACCAAGAAATTTGGGAATCTGAATACCTTTAAAATTATTATCACTAAAGTCCAAGGAAACCAAATGCTTCAAATCAAGCAAGGAGGGATTTATCTTACCGCTCAACTTTGACCTCTCATAAGCATCATATTCAACATCAGATGCATAGTCTTTCAATGCAGGATTTCCAAGGTTGAGCTCAAGGACATGGCCTGTCAAGTTGCCACAGACAACACCAGGCCATGCACAACAATCTCCATCACCTCTCCAAGAGTCAAGCCGGTTGTTGGGATCTATCAGGTCATGTTTGAATCTTAAAAGTGCTTCTCTCTCACTTTCTATGCAACCCACAAAAGAGCTTCCATTGCAGAAGCTGACTTTGATGGTTGCAATGGCAAGTAACTCCAGGAAAAGAGCTACAAAACAGCACCCATATTTGGTTTCATTACGTGAGAACGTTTTGAAACAGAGTACTATATGTTTATAGTTACCATATAGCAATTCACTCTCTTTTCCCATTATATAGCAATTCACTCTGTGTTACCATCATAATTTCAACATAAGCAAACATAAATTTCAAACCCACCCATTTGGAAAATTTGTTAAAAGAGGACATCTCTGATAAAACTACAAGAAATTTCCTTTTGATCAGTATGTTGAATCATGAGTCAACGAATCACTTTCAATCTTCACGTCAGTGAAGACACTGGGAAACTTCTTACACACAAAATCAAACACGCTATAGTTTGTTTTGTTCAAAGTATATCAATATCATATTGTTAGGATCCCACATTGAAAGGGAAAAGGGTGAGCATGTGGGTTATAAAGGCTTGGATACCCTCCCTTGACAAGCCGGTTTTTCAAGGAGAGTTCTACCCAAACCCATGAAAGACTCATGGCCCAACCCAAATTATTGAATTATTGGAGTGGGTTCCTATCAATTGGTATCAGAGCATGATCATGCACCTATGTGGCAGCGCACGCGTGACAGACTGACCTTGGGCCCGGGCTGCTACCGCGAGAAAGGGCATGGAGGCCCGAGGGAAAGGGGATCCGCGTAGTCACCTAAGGGGTAAAGAAGCCGAGGGGGGTAAAGAAGCCGATGTGGACGTCGGTTGCAGAAGCGTGATGGAATGTTAAGATCTCACATTGAAAGGGAAAATGATGGGCATGTGGATTATAAAGGCTTGGACACCTTCCTTGGCACGCCGGTTTTTCAAAGAGAGTTCTACCCAAGCCCATAAAAGACTCATGGCCCAACCCAAATTGTTGAGTAGTTATTGGAGTAGATTCCTATCACATATCTTCAAATATTTTATTATGATAACTTTCTTAAGAGTACCTAAAAGTGAAATTGTTTTTCAATTTTTTAGTTTAAATACTTCAAAGTAGACTGTCCTTTAACGCTGCTCAAAATCAGACTATCTGCCCAGTAACCAAATGGACTCAAGACGTTAGTGGTTCTACCATATTATAGTTAAGAGTAGAGGGAAAACCCAGGTACGATCGAACCGTTCTATGGTCGCCTCGGTCGATAAGAGACTAGAGAGCATCAGTACGGCTCTGCCTTATCTTTTTTTTTTTTTTTTTAAAAAAAATAAAAAAAGCTTCCTCTAGTCGGTCCTAAAGAGAGGTCTTTTTAGTTTACCTTTACCTAAAAGCTTCCTACTTTCTTTCCTGGCGATTAGGAAATTTCCTAGGCGTGGTACGGTATATGAAAAGCCTTCCATTGAACTGACACTCCTTTTCTTAATCGTATTCACATCCAAAACAGAAGCACTTTACGCTCCAGGAACGATTAGAGGATGTGTCCAATGATCAAAATAAGCAAACCTTGCTGCATGCGATAGAAAGAAAATATATGCCAAACTTATATCCAAAAGCTAAGGGTGCGGACAATAGAGATACAAGTTTTTCCGGGGCAATAAAGATTCTCAAACTCAAAGCTGACAAGATTGCAATGCCATAATGCCAGGATTTGCATCTCAACTGTTGATTAACATGCGTAAACTCATTTTTTTTCCATCTCAACTGTCTTTATTCTTGTTTACCTTGAAAGATGGGACATAATATTTTCATGCGAGAAATGGCTTAAAAGCTTAACATATATCCATGAACATCATTACTGAGTACGATGGCAAAAGTGGAAGAAGATATATAATACCTTTTTGCACTTCATCTTTTGGGTATCCACAAATGACATTAAGATTTGATACAATTTTATTGAAGAGAAAACTTTATGCTAAGAATCAGCCCCTACTGATGAGGTGATTGAAGATACACAGGGGAACCAATACCTGCGTCTGCCATCTCTGTGGCCATCATCAATCATCGCCAGACCTTCCTGTATCAAACAAAAAGGATTTATGAGTCCTTTGCATCTGACCATACAAGTGACCAACATAGAGATTAAAAAGAACTAGTAATACAAAATATGAAGCCTAATGATAACAAGAACTTACTTCTAACAAAGTATCAAGTGCGTCAATGGCACGACCAGATGTCCAGGAAAGACGTCTCTCTACCTCATCAACAGTTACAAAACCTTGAGCCTAAAAGAGCCAAAAGAACAATGCAATCAGATGTGTTTTCAACTGGTAATACAATATTCCACTTTGAAGAGTAAAGAAATAACAAATGGTTCTTGTTTTAGTACACATTCCAAAATGAAATTTGAGAAAGAACTCATATAAAGAAATTGCATATAACCTGGGCCAACTCCAGAATTTGATTATGGTCTTTGTTTAACTCAGTGGGAACAGAGCGGACAAGCTTTTTCTTTCCAACAGAAATCACCTCAAAACCACTACCCATTACCTGGAGAAATTGAAGCATCGAGTGTTTATGTATCTATCGACATAATAGCATCAACATGAAATAATAGCCTTAATTTCAATACCTTCAGCTTACTTATAGCACGCAAGCAGTCATCCTCAGATATAGCTTCACGGTCACTTTTTCGCTTCTGACGGAGGAGATTGCAGAGTTCCTGCATGTTGATCAGACCTCCATTGTGGGGTCTTGTTGCCAAGCAAATTTCAACAATTTGTACCCCTGTCTAGCCAAGTTGCTATATTTCAGTATAAGCGTTCTATAACATCGTGAAGATATGCCTTTCACAAATTAGATTGAAAGAGGACATAAGTGATAAAAACTAGAGGAACAGAGTCACTCAGAATTCATAATTTCCTGCCACGTCCAGAAACTTGTAGGTGCAGTGCCAAATTCAGATGATTGATTTTTAAAGGCAAGAACACAGTTACTACAAAATTCATGATTATTATGATTGAATTAAACAAATGCTGGAAACATAAAGGCCTGATTCAAATTTTTAGGGTATGAAGAACCAAATCATGCTTCCAATAGTATATAACAGAGCACACAATTTAGTAAGGGATGTTCTCCCAATTCACTCATCAGAACAAGCTTTTCCTCAGCAGAAATCTCTATTAAGTAATGAGCATTTACTTTTAAAGATCATAGCCTACTAAATCCACCACTAGGCGGAAACATCCTACACTCTCTAGAACATAAAACTGCAATTTCCTTTTGATAAGAGGAGGACCAAAAGTATAAATTTACAGATTGCAAATTCCAAATTCCAATAGTTCCTTCACAAACAAACTAGTAATAAGAACAAGTAATAGCCAATTTCTAAAAGGAATCTTACACAGTTTATAAAACAACTGAACACTGAAATAGCTTCTTGATTCTCAGAATGTTTGTTGATCTTCATAATAAGAATAAACGTTTGATTCCATATAAAATTATTCTTGGTGACAAACAAAAAAATGCATGTTTATTTTCTCTGTGGGAAAACTTAAAGTTAAATATGCAGGGTATTTACATGCATCCACAATTTCCTCAACACCTCATAAAACATCACACCTCAAAAAACTATGGTCATGACTCATGAGACATGGACCAAAATTCAAGAATATGACACTAACCAAGTTCATAATAGAAGTCACCGATCCCTAACAGCTCCGCCCAGAAACCCTTATTAGATGCCAAGGGATCCACTCCAACTTTTGCACACATCTCATGAAACTGTGACCTGAACGTAGGGTTCTTGCGTATATCATTCTGCATCAACCCATTTCAACAATAAGCTTATATAAATTTCACCAACAAAAACAACACAATAGCACAAACAAGTAATTCATCCTAAATATCTATTCATGATCAAACTTTAAATCACCATAAAGACAAACGGAACCTGTTTCTTCACACTACCACACATCAACCCTTAAAATTTCAATATATTGTTATTAATTCAGCCAAATTATTAAAAAAATAAAACCCACTTTCTCAAAAAAGAAAAAAAACATCGATTTTTTTAAAACCTTTAACAACAGGATCCTAAAAAATTTGTATTGTTCTAAGAATACTAACCTTATGCTTATATAATATCGTCATTATTTCAACCAAAACACAACACTTTCAGTAATTCAACATCCAAATTCTTAAAAACAACGAAACCGAGAGAAAAAACAAGAAATTTACAGCAAACTCTATTTCAAGTATTCAATAATCCAGATTCCCAAATCAATTAATTTTTTTAAAAAAAACGCTGAAGTTATTACAGAAGGGGGGAAGGAGAGGAAAAATGACCTTGTGCTTACGAGCAAACTCTTCAAGCTGAGAACGAAAGGTGGCAAGCTGTTCTTTCATGAGATCAGTTCTAAGCTTTGCTACATTTTCTCCCAGTAATCGATACTGATCCTGCAAAAATTTTAAATCGAAAATTATATGATTAATACATAAAAAAGGAAAAACCTGAAGCAAAAACTTTCTAGCGTAGATTAAGGTTTGTTGAAAGCAAAAACAAACCCTTGCAGCAGCTGCCGTCTGTAAACCACCAATTCCAGGTCGTCTTCTCATTTTTCAAATATTTCTTTTATTTGTCAGGCAAATTGATTAGTTTTGTTTCTGGATATGTCAGTTTTAAGACCAAACTTGTATCAACAACGTTGTTTGTGAAGAACGGCGAGATGAGATTGAAATTGAAATATGGGTAGCGAATTCTGATGTCAGATCAATGTGGCGCGTATCGAAACCGGTGAGAGCCTTCACTCACTTTATGTATAAATATTCAATATTAAACTTAATTTTAAATTAAACATGAATTATAATATAAAATTATAATTAAATTCTGTAAATTTATTATTAATTTCTAATAATAAATTTATTATTTACTAAAATTAGTATTAATCAATTAAAAACTAAACTCGATATTAATCAATTAAGTTAATCACTAAAGATTAGTTCACAACCAAATTTTATAAATTTTCTCTCATAACCATTACGCGTCAGTTCGAAATTGGACAGACGAGACTCATTGGGAGCTGTTATATCAAAGTTATGAAAATTTGTAAGATTGACTGTAAATGTAATATTGTCTTTATATTATGGGCATTTTATTTTGTAATCGCTATTATATAAACTAGTCAAGCTTCTCACAAATTGAGCTAGCTCAATTCTAGCCGAGTTCAAGCTTGAGTAGCTCGAGTGTCGAGTCGAGTCGAGTCGAGTTCAAGTATAATAATACTCAATTTGAGCAGCTCGTGAGTTTACTCGAGCTTGATATATTATATAATATTTTAATTTTATAAAAGTAAATTAAAATAATTAATAATTTGACTCGAGTACAACCGAGTTGGACTTGAGTTTGAGCTCAAGCTCGAGCTCGATTGTAACCTATTTGAGCTTGAACCAATCATATATCTATCGAGCTCGAGCTCAACAATTGACGCTCAATCAACTTGAGCTCGAGCTCGAGCTCGAGCTCAACAATTGACGCTCAATCAACTTGAGCTCGAGCTCGAGCTTCAACTATTACAACTAAACCAAGCTCGAGCTTCTTAATATTTAGCTCGATTCCAGCCTTAATTGATATGAATGATAACAACAAAATTGAAGTACACCATTTTTGAGTCAATCAAGAAAATAATGCAGTGATTGCAACTTCTTTTATTTGTAGCACAGAAGAAGAGAGACCAAAAAGAATCTGTATTTCATAATGAACTGATACTCAAAACTGTTGTATAAAATGTTTATGTATACATGAAGATTGTTGGAGGAGGCCAAGCTCTACATTGAATTTTATGGGTTCAAAAAATCAGCTATTGCTTTGAGACTCTCGATCTGAAGGTTAAAAAAGTTAAAAATGACTATTGATTTCGGTTCTAGGCAATTCTAGACCATGGCTAATTATGTTGATATTCCTGTAGCTTCCTTTGGTATCAAAAATAGAAAAGCTATTGGAATGAAAGTGCAGAGGAGTTGAATAGCAATCCCCAAAGGAAGGTTGTCGAAAGATCCTGAAGAGATGTTCAAAAATGAAGCTAACCCGGCACCAACAAATGAGCCCAATGTAGACCCCAAGTTGTTTATTGACATAAAAAGAGCAAAGAGAGTTCCTTCAATTCCTGGTGGACATAGCTGTCCAGATAAGATGAGGAATGGCATGAACCTGCAGATACATCGCAAAACTCAGTGAGTTAAAAATACGTTAACAGAAACGAAATGCAAGTAGCAAAAGATGCACATACTTGAATTGATTGATTGCATCACTCAGAGCAGATCCATATAGCACCATGGTCTTATCAGATATCCCATAGGCGACATTCATTCGAGAGACTAGAACAATATCTAGGAAGGTCAAGATTGACAATCCTATCTGAGTCCACCTGCATGATGTTTATGGATCAGGACTAAGTTATAAAATATTTGCCAAAGATATTTAAACAAAAAGATGTATTCCTTACATTAGAACTCTTCGTAGCTTCATCTTTTTTAGGTAGCGGTTATAAGTAAAGGTTCCAAGCATAAGGCCTACCCATCCAACAACACGGGCAGTGCCCAAAAAGGATGCTTCCAAATTCAGGACCTCAGTCTGGTAGTAAAACATGACGGTTGACAAGTTGGGAATAGTTACATGAGCCATGAAAAACCAAGCCATAGGCCTGACCTTCCCAAGAACAAGTAAAATCAAGAGTAACCATAATTAGAATGATATACAAATCAACAAACAGAAAATGTCAAGGACCCTTGAAATGCAAACATCATTTGTGACCTTCAACTGCCACTAGACAGACTGATAATGCAGCACAATAGCGTTAAGTAATTACCTCAAAATCATGGGCTGTCTAAACGCAGAATACAAACTGTAAGTGGCTGCTTTCAGAGAGTGGAACCATTGTAAGACTAAGTGGTTGCCTTTTTCAGGACTCTGAGGTTTCCTTGTCATAACAAATCTCTTCTTCTTGTTCTTTTGGCTCTTCTTTCTTCTTGACATGGTGATATTGGACTTCTTCTCTAAGAAATCCTCCTCATCCAAAATGTGATTATTCCCATTCACCAGATGGGAGCTGCTTGTATTAGAAAACTCTTGCAAGACTTTACTACCTACAGGATTCTCCTTAACCAAGCAACACGATAATAACTGTATGGTTGGCAGCACAGAGAAAAGAAGAAAAATTCTATCTATCTGTAAGCTAGTTAATGCATATCCTCCTAACAAACTCCCACATATTCCACCGAAAGCCATTGCCAACCAAGATAATGACTGGAGGTCTCCAGCAAATGTGGCCCTGATTTAAGAGCAGTGGTAAGTGATGATATTTAATATCTTACTTTTCAAAATAGGAATAATTAAGACTAATTTATCAAAGGGGAGTTCAATGTTTCTTGATCCATATGTTGTTTCCGGACTATTTGCGGACTAGTGAATAGATAATTTAAAACTCGTGAACTCATAAACATGAAAAAACTTATAATGTGCACATACCGCTCAGATTTTACTGCCTCAGCAATCATTGCATCAACTACAACATCTGCCATGGCTGAGCCCAAGTTTTGTGCTGTCAAGAAGACTATTAGATGCCACTGGGAACTCCTCACATATTCATTTAGGCCCAGAATTATCCATGGCACGAAAGAGCACACGGTTGCAATGACTAAGTATGGAACCCTTTTCCTTCCTCTGATTGGAATGCAATCGGACAAAATTCTGCATGCAAAATAGAAAAAGAGTTCAAAAGAATTAATAAAAAAAATAAAGCTTTCTTGTCACAAATTGCCTCATTGAGAACCACAAAATGGCACATATATCAGAATATAATCTGCAATAATATCTGCTACGTTCAGGTACTATAGAACATGTGTTCATACAGCACACAAACTTAGTACCAATACTTGTGTAAACTGTTAATACTATTCAGATGTGCCAGGAAATCTTTCCATAGTCTCTATACATGGAATCTCTAAAAATATCCTAGTTATTCCCAAAAACATCTAGTAGCTTCTATCTATGAAATGATACTTACTATCACACAAAAAACGAAGGGTACATATTTTATAATATGATATGACCCTTCAATTTCATCCAAAAACTTCACTTTCAATTCTAAATGATTCATTACAAAGGCCAAGAACATCAAATTGCCATAATATTCATACCCATATAATGGTTTTATGCTCCATGGGAAAAATGCTATTGAAAACACAAACTGGGAGACTGAGGGCGACAACTTAAGCTTGTCTTTCAACTGGTAGGAAACTGCTGTCCATACAAATGATCTGAAACCCTGTATTCACATAACCATGAAAAAAATATAAGTCGAATTTGAATGGATATGAAAATAAATGCATTGAAATTTAAAAAGCAAAAAAAGTAACAGGCGCCAGAAGTATCAAAAACCTTTTTTTTTTCTGTTTTAAAATAAAAAAAGAAAAAAAAAACACACACACACACATTCTGAATCAATTTCTGTTTTTTGCAACACCACAGAGAGAAATCGCTTTCTAAGCACAGAACTAGTTCTATGTCAAGCAGCGAAAATTCAAATTCAATATTGATTGCATACAAGATCTAACTTCTCTCAATATATTCAAATCACTCTACAAAAGATTTTAATGATCGAAAAAAATACACATTACTACTCAATTCTTGTTGAGACGAGAGCAGGGCAAGGTAGATGATGTGATGACTAAGGACAACAAAAACAAATAATTTTAAACGAATTGATAGTCTTCCACTTCAGAAGCTAATCACACTCCAAAATATATATGCTGCTTAAAAGGAAAAACAGGAGGATTAGACACCAGCTGAAGGCATATCCTTCCCAAACTTCAGAAACATTAATTTCAGAAGCAGATAAACTTCTCCTGAATACCTACCAAAATTCAATCCTCGTTGATTTTCTAAAACCGAAATTAAACAAAAACCAACAAAGAGATCGAAACTAACATTTTTAGAACAATGCGCTCTAATAACACCAACTAAAGTCTCAAATCAATCAATCAATCAATCAATCCATAACCTAAACAACCCAAAATTGCTTAAACTCAACAAATCGTCACAACCCCAAATGCCAAAATCAATAGAAATCACCCATCTCGACATCCCAGAACCCAAAACAATTTTTTTTTTTAAATGAAACTTTAACACTGGAAGATCAAATTCCTGAAAAAAAAAAAAAAATACAAAAAGAGATCCCACGTAGGCATACAAACATAGCATGAATATCCATACATAAAAACAAATACAAGAGATAATAATAATAATAATAATAATAAAAGGAGACTTTCTTATTGGAACCTGAGTAAAGTAGATCAAACAAATAAGCCAAAGAAACGAAAACCCGAACGCTTTTTTCATCTGACTCAGCCATTCTTTCATCTTTCAACTTGCAGTTTCACCAATTTTCAAACTCTCTCTCTTTTCGCTATTTCCTCCCTCTGGTTTCTATATTTTTCTTACATGGCCATGATTCTTCAGAGCTACGGTTCTGCTTCAGTTAAACGGTTTTGTTACAGTTGGTGATCTTATAGACGTTGATATCCGTGGTTGACTGAAACTTGTTGTTTGACCAACTGTATTGTTGATGGGTTATTTTCTCGTTTTATAGAGGTTTTCAGCTCCCTGAACACGTCTTGGCTCCTATCAACACTCGCCATGTGATCAGAGTGGCCCACTGCTGTGGCAGTCATCTAGTGCTTTGGTCACAGAAATGTTTCTCTAGCTACGGATTTTATTTATTTGTTAAAAAAAAAAAAAAAAAAAAAGGTAAAAGACATCTATGTACTAATATTTATAAAAATATATATATAATTTTTAAATAAGATTACTACATATTAAAAAAAATGAAAAAATCTAAATAAAAAAAACACAAAAGTTAGGAAATCAATCAATTTAGAAAATTAAAAAAATAAAACCTTTAAAAAATAAAAAGTCAAAAACTAAAATATTTAAAATTAAAAAATTAAAAGTAAAGTAAACTGGCCAAAGGCATCGACGCCGGTGCATTGCCTAGCCGACGTGGTCCGTGGATGGACACATTTGTGAAATGTCATTTTTATCCTTCTCAAATGTTATATTTTACATTTTTTAACGGTGTTTTGTTTATCTTTTCTTAGGTTATTTTGAAACTTGAGTCTCTTTTCTTCTAATTTAAAAAAATATTGTCCCCTAATTAATAATATTTCTTTTAACTTTTGTAACGAAATATTTGATTAAATTGAAAGAATATTTTCTTTTGGTAAATTAAAGCATTTTTAATATATTTATGTGTAAAGAAAAGAAGTATTGATATTGACTAAAATTCAGACAAAAAAAAAGAAGATTATTGAAAGTGGATAATCAAAAACTTTAGTTCACATGATTGGCCCAACTTTCAGTGGAAGTTATTACCAAACTGATTTTGGACAAAGAGATGGGACTGAAAAAGACCCTCTTGCAGTGTTTTTTGTTGGTTTTATGAACCAATTTACCAGCTTTCAATGGTTTCTTCATAAACTGAAAGTTGCAACTAAAATGGAAAATTCTATGGTCTGCGATGGTTTCGATGGCAGGTAATGTTTGGATTATTGGAGGAGGATGAACAATTAGTTGGAAAAATATTTTATCTGTTTATCAAATGGTGTTAACTCATCCTGTGTGGTATATAGAATGACCCCTGAACCTTACTTTCCCAGCTGCAGAGGGCGGGAGAGGGAAGGGAGGAGAATACATTATAGATTGCTTACCAAACACATGAAGAAGCTGCACTCATCTGCTTTTTGCCGGGTAAAATGATAATCATTATGCTAATGAAGAAAGGAAAATGGGAGAAAAATGTGGGAAGAAAAACCTGCCATGGTCATGAGATGCTAAAACTGGGCTATAGAGGAGCAAAACTATAGTTAAACATGGCTTTAAACATTTTTTCTGCGCCAACTCGATTTCATGTATTACTCTGTTTGCTGAAATGTCGAGTTTATGATGGCCATAATAAGGTTGTCAACAGTAATATCAGTGATATCTCATCCAATAACATGTACAAACATTAATATCAGTATATGGAAAGTATAAATATCACAGTGCTGTCATCATTGGTTCTGATTTCTTATATATATAAATCTCTAAACTAAATATACACACTGAGACTCGAAATCTCACATGCAGTAAGTTGGTACACTGCCATGTCGATAAACAAAAGGTTTGACAGTGTGAAAATAACCTGATGGATGATTATACGTGAACTTGACTCCAGCACTACCTCCTCCTAGATGGGTGCAGTGTTCATGGAAACTTCTTATAGGCCGTGCCAGACATGCATCCCAGCGGTCACTCTCAGGCATTGTCTCGGCCACTGTATACATCCCCTTAGCATTTGTAAATGCTTGATAATTTAGAACTTCCCCAGATTTTGTTATGCAAAGAACAGCAACCTCAGCACCTGCATCCATATTAAAAAAAAACCCACTTATACCTAATTGACTATAAAGATATGTCATATTGTAATCAGAAGGGTTTCTAATGATCACAAGGAATTTTTGTTATATATATATATGCAGGCATGAATGTGGCAAGCATCATCAGAACAAGATAAAATGGAGCGCATCAAGCTTTTTCAATTATTAGTTCAATTTCAAGTCAAGAAACTAAGTTTGTACAACTATTACAAAAGGCACACACAAAGAATTAATTAATTTTGATATAGCAGATGACATCTAAGTTTGAAGAAATTAAGGACATCTATGTTTAAGAGTGATGAAATAATGACTAATACAATCACATAGGAGAGACTGAAACAAGCAGAAGCTAGCCTTCAAATAATAAAACCTTAGTATGTCATCTAAGCCACCTCCCTGGATGACCCTAACCAGTGACAAACTTTATCATGAAAATACAGACGATAAGCATTCATATTAAAATTGTACATTATCGCTCAAGTGATACTGAAGCAACAAAAATGAATTAGCAAAGAAACATAATTAAGGCACTATGAAGTACTTAAGTGTGTCAATTTTTAGCCCCTACAGAATCATTTGGAAGTAAAGAATGTTCTCTTTCACAGATGGATTTGGTTTAGTTTGAGTTGATTGACCAGAAGACATGTCCAAGAGAAAACAACATCCCTACCATAGGAACTACTAACACAATCAGATTGTGCCCAAATCTTACAAATAAAGGAAAGGAACATAACCCGATTTAACCAAAAGTTCCTGCTCAGTGATAATAGATACGAGAGAGAAATACACAGCTAGATAGAACAATGTAATAAGTTGTAACCAAAATCAAGCAACTAAATGCTCAGCATTTCTTTCTTCCTTCAGTTTAAGCAGCAACTGTTCGGTTTCAATCGAATTACGTTACGCGTCTTCACAACAGCAGTAAACGTCAAGGACTCAAAAGGAAAGATAACTCCTATTTGCTGACCCTTTTAAAACTAGATTAAGTGCGTAGATAATGCTCACTCATTATAGTACAAAATCCCACAAAGCTAGTAAGAGAAAAGAAATATGTCCATAAAACGTAAAAGACTATTCATCATTCTCAGATAACAATTTCCAGCAAACTCATCTTATTTACACTCATAGACAAGCTCATAAACATATCAGCAATCCATAGAAACCAGAAATTGATTCCCGCAAAAAGAAGAACCAACTATAGAACTTATAATCATAAAATTGTTGCCCAATTATTCATGATATATATAAATTAAACTCATACACTCTTTGGCAAGCTCAAAACGAAATATAACAAACCAATTAATCAAAAGGAACCAACCAATTAATAAAAAAGGAACAAACTTTAGCAGAACCCACAATTAAAATCACAAACCCATCAAATATCGCTAACCAAAGACAAAACCCTGTACAATTACACAACCAAACAACATACAATCAAACCAAAGATTCCGAGTTTATGAACTGAAAACGAGTGAGAGGACAGACCTTCAAGAACGTGATCTTCAGGTCCGATAGAGGAGTCACCACAGACATCACAGACAACTCTTCCATGGATCTCACCGGTCCAAGCTTTAACATTTGATACAATCACTGTTGTCAGAGCCAAAACAAAGAGACCCATCACCATTTTTCTCTTCTGAGAATCCATGACTACCGTGCTTCTCACAGAGGTAATCCCAAGTTCCCAACTCCAAATGTCCCACAGACTCAAATCACGCACACAGTAGTTCCTGACATTTATTAGCCAAATATGAACTTTACCTCTGAGCCCCTCCTTTGTTTTATTCAAAGAATGCTGCCACTATTGGCCATAGCGTATTTGGAATTTTGGATCATACTTTATTACACATGACAGTGCCTTTATATTTTACAAAATTACTGTAAGTCCCTATCTTTCTCTAATTCAAGAATGGCTAGATGCCTATAAATAATTTGGTTATATCACAAGGGCTAAATAGAAAATTCAGGTTTAGTTCCTTCCCACATAATGATAAACTAAGCCTAGCTTTACAAGTGGCGAAATGTGTTGTGGACTCTTAGCTTCTCTTCCTGGGCAAAGGAACCAGATGAAGAAGAAAAAAGATATCTTCTATGTGCCTTAAAAAACTTAAAAGTTCACAGTTTTCTCACTATCAAGTATCAACAATGGCTGTTGAATTTAAGATGCTGTTTCCTCCTTTTTCTTTTTCATTTGCAATTCGGGTTTTCTTTTCTTTTTCCATTATTTGATCCGTTTTTTCACTTTTCATGTTTTGGCTTTCAAGTTGCCGTACATCATTGTTGCACAGATCATGATGCAGTTTTGAGATTATAAGAAAAGTAGTGTATTTTTTTCTTCTGTAAAGTAGCAAAAGATGATGTGATGTTAGTTTAGTTTAAGACTTTCAACATGATATTGTTTTAATTTCATTTCATTTGAAAATTTTGAACTGTGTATTCATTCTTTCAAGCTCTGCCATTCTGATTTACAGATAATTTGATTCCTTGTTGATATCTTGGAAGTTTCTGGTAGTTTTCTGTGTGGCACTTGTTTTGTTATTCCTTTCTGCAATTTGTTTTTTTTTTTTTTCTTTAGGGTTTTTGTTCTGTATCCCTATGAAGAATGATCAGATCGTTAAAAGTAGTGCCTGATTTCCATTGATGAACAGCAAATTCTGAGGGATAGCATTCTTACTACAATGATTGCACTGTTTGGAATTTTATTGGGGGCTTCTGAAAATTGATCTCTGCATATTTTTCGTACTTGTGATCCTGAGCTTGTTTGAAACTCTCTTGATATCTTTTCTTTTAAAAAAAATCTCTCTCCTTACAATACTGTTTTGCATTCCTATGAGGATTAATTTGCAAACTGAAAGTAGTGGACTGATCTCTGGTAATTGATGAATAACAGATCCTGAGGGATGCACTCATAATTTGTACTTGTCAACCAAGTAAGAGTACTTGAATTAGGGCTCTTTGAATTGACTTGGCGTGTGCGCATGCATTTCTTCATACTCTTTTGTTGAGTATCTTTTTTTGCAATTCTATGAAGAGGTTTAAGCAAATGAATATGTCATTTCTTTAATCTTATTTATTTATTTTTCTGGAGAGGTTTGTTTCACATCTATCATATCATAGGTTCCATAACTCTGTGATGAATGATAAGCAATTTAGAAATAGTGGACTGATTTTTTATTATTCACTGACTGAGGGATGATGTTTTCTTTTTCAAGTATTAAATTAATGCAATGCTCTGTTGTAATGTGTACAATCTTCCCAAGTGAGGACATATTTGTACAAATTACCCCTGTTATATTTATTTGGATGGTCATAGCCAAGGGGATGTGATCTATTGCCTAAAGAAATTTAGAAGTTTGATGCATAACCAAAGATGTGCCGGACTGTGGACTGCCGGAGGCTGGAGAATTTTTTGCAGAGGGTTGATAACGGCATCCTTTGGATATGTAATGATCACACTATGTTATATAGTTTATCTCTTATATGCCTCTAAAAACTTTAAGTTCACATTTTTCTCACTATCAACAATGGCTGGGGAACATAAGATGCTGTTTCCTCCTTTTTCTTTTTCATTTGCAATTCGGTTTTCTTTTCTTTTTCTATTATTTGATCTGTTATTTCACTTTTCATGTTCTGGTTTTCAAGTTTCGGTACATCATTGTTACACAGATCATGATGTAGTTTTTAGATGATAAGAAAGGTGTGTATTTTTTCTGTAAAGTAGCAAAAGATCATGTGATGTTAGTTTAGTTTAAAACTTTCAACATGATATTGTTTTAATGTAATTTCATTTGAAAATTTTGAACTGTGTATTCAGTCTTTCAAGCTCTGCCATTCTGATTTACAGAGAATTTTATTCCGTGTCCTGATATCTTATAAGTTTCCGGTAGTTTTCTGTATGGCACTTGTTTTGTTATTCCTTGCTGCAATTTGCTTTTTTCTATAGGGTTTTTGTTCTGTCTTGCTATGAAGAATGATCTGATTGTTAAAAGTAGTGCCTGATTTCCATTGATTAACAGCAAATTTTGAGGTATAGCATTCTTACTACAATGATTCCACAGTTTGGAATTTTATTGGGGGCTTCTGAAAATTGATCTCTGCATATTTTTCATACCTGTGATCCTGAGCTTGTTTGAAACTCTCTTGATATCTTTTCTTTTAAAAACAATGTCTCTCCTTACAATATTATTTTGCATTCCTATGAGGATTAATTTGCAAATTGCAAATAGTGGACTGATCTCTGGTAATTGATGAATAACAGATCCTGAGAGATGCACTCATTATTTTTACTTTTCAACCAAGTACAAGTACTTGAATTAGGGCTCTTTGAATTGAATTGATGTGTGTGCATGCATTTCTTCATACTCTTTTGTTGAATATCTTTTTTGCAATTCTATGAAGAGGTTTGAGCAAATGAATATGTCAAATCTTTAATCTAAAGAATTTTTTATGGAGAGGTTTGTTTCACATCTATCATATCATAGGTTCCACAACTATGTGATGAATGATAAGCAATATAGAAGTAGTGGACTGATTTTTGACGATTCAATGACTCTCGAGGGATGTTGTTTTCTTTTTTCAAGTATTAAATTAATTGAATGCTCTGTTGTAATGTGTACAATCTTCCCAAGTGAAGACATGTTTGTACAAATTACCTTTGTTTATATTTATTTGGATGGTCATAGCAAAGGGATTTGATCTATTGCCTACACAAATTTAGAAGTTTGATGCATAACAAATATGCGCTGGACTGTGGAGTGCCGGAGGCTGGAGAATTTGTTGCAGAATGTCATCCTTTGGATATGTAACAATCACTATGATACGGTTCAATTATACTGAAGCAGTTGCTGGACCTCTATCTGTATTGATATTGATTGTTGGGGCCATTGAGTTTTGTGTTTCCAAAGGCTTACCAAGTTGACTGCTCAAGAATGAGCCTGGATTGATTTGAATGTAAATTGTATGTTCTGACCCATTTGAAAATTATTGTATCTTTGTTGCTGCTTGGTATAAGTGAAGATGGTATTTTTCTTTATTCTCATATTTAAATCTGCAGCAGGTGCTTTGCGGTTACGATTTGAGAGTCCAGAAAATGTAGCTATGAGTTGAATCGCAGTTCTTTTTCTACTTTTAACCTTCTCATTCAAAATTAGAGAAAGTATTGTCCTGTTATTGTCAGATAATGAACTGTAACTGCTGCACATTAGACTATTAGAGTATCTAATAAATCCCCAAATAATAACTTTGAAGGATAGAGACGTTTGATCTAAAATCAATCTACTCGTTGCAACAAAATATTAGGGTTTCTTACAAAACATGCTGACACAAAATGTTTCTTGCAAACATATGTATTTGAATGCTGGACTATAACATATCATGTTAATCTTTGAACTCATTGTCATGCTAATGGGTCAAAACAGGTTATTTAGGAGCAAGTCTTTCAGCTTTTATCTGCGCAAAGATCCTCTCAAGCTTACTAACCCGTTCTTCAAATTGCAATTCCAGTATCTCCATTGCCCTTTTACTGCCATATCTTTCACCATATTGCATCCTCACTGCATCATGATCTTGATCACTTGCTTTACTATCAGTTGCAAGATCACTAGGTGCCTCTGGTACAACTTCCACAATCTTAGGTTCATTCTGCATCATTTTTTCTGCCAATTCTGTCTGTAGATCAATTGTTTTAACAACCTTATCACCTATGGTTGAAGAGGAAATATTTTGAGATTGACTTTACATATGTTTAACATCTGGAACCTGCCTATTCTTCCCATCATCATGCTTTATACAAGATTTCAAAAACTCTGCAACAGTCATATCACATTCCTCTACCGAATCCTTTGTTTCAACCACATTAGATTTGGGAGGAAATCCCGGAGGAACCAAGGAATCATTGCCTTCCCTCAAACTCTTCAACATGGAACTAGAATAAGTAGAGGCAGCATCAATTTTATTCATTCCATCAAACCTCCTTGGTGTTATTTTGAACCTTTTGATAAGGTTCTCTGCATTTGTTCCTCCTAATATCTTTGGCTTTGTCTTAAAGCTTGATGAAGTATCAGCTTCCTTCTTTCCTTTTGCCATCTCCAGGACTTTTTTGGTACCAGTGAAGGTACACTCACTAGCACCTTGCAGACATGAGATCGATTGTTTCCACCACTCTGAGTATTGGCTTGTTACATCTCCCTCATTCAGCCGGCATGGAATATACAAAGTGTAACAAATTGGCTTACTATAATAATTCCAAGCAATAGAAGGAGTCTCATTGATTCGAGGAACACAAGGTGGAAGATCTTGGTCCATTCCGAATTGCATGGCAACACGATGTGGAAGGTATTGCTCTATACATTCAAAGCCAACTAGCTCAGAAACCCTCAAGCAATAAGCAAATGACTGTAGTTCTTCAGACAAATTAGGACCAACTGAAACCCACATTTCTTTTTCTCCATAAAACTTGGGAACATTCCAATTTTTAACAGGTTTTACATAGGGACGCCAATCGAAATCATCTTTCGATGAATCTATAACTTTCCTCACATTCTCAACGACAGTGAGTTTCTCATGCCAAAGAGCAAGTCTCGGTTCACCCGTTTTGATCAAATTAGGCTCTGGCCTCAAGTGTAAAAACCTTTCCCAAGCCCAAATTTGGACCAACTGAAATGGTGAACGTACAGTAACAGCTAATTTATTATCTTCATTTCCCCAATTATCAAACTTAGTTAAAGCAACAATCTTTTCTTTCAATGAAGTCAGATCTTTGTAAATGCTGGCAAGAACAGCAGGTGCAAGTGCAATTCTAGTCCCTCTAGCTAAACGTATCGCAATAGGAAATACAGATTTGACAATTACATTACTGAGGCTAAGAACAAACCTTGACAACCACAGGGCAAGAAAAGCTTCGTGTTCAATTTCGCTTCCACTATCCATGAATTTCCTCATCCATGGTCGATGGTCTGCCTTCCTGGCTTTACTCATACGGAGTTCCCTTTGTGCTTCATTCAATTTCTCTTCCAACTCCTTCAACTCATCTGCTTCAACAGGGCAAAAAATAGGGGACCCCAATACAGAGTACCCTGCTATCATCATATCTTCTAGAGTAATTGTAACTTCACCCCAAGACAAAATGAAACTTTTAGTCTCCGGACACCATCTCTCAGCAAGACCAAGAACCAAGTCATCATTTTTCTTAATTTGATAGACAGAGTTCAAAATGGCTTCTCGTATACCAACCTTCTCCCATGTACTTTCATGTAAAGAAGCCATCTTTTCCACCCATCTTCTCCAATTAGTTTGTGGGTGCCTCCATCCATGATATGCCACTTTCAAAGGCCACTTTTTTGGCTCAAAAGTGGATGGTAAATGGTGAAGAAAGTGTGAAGGTAGCTCAAAAACTGGACCTTTAGAAGATTTTATGGTAGGTTTAAGAAAATGGGCTAGCTTCATAGTAGGAATCCCATCACTTGTTGGTGGGGCCATCAACGCTTGTCTCACTTCAACACCAACTTGTACTACTTCCTCCATTGTTGAAGCTCACAAATGAAGCTTAAAAGACCGACTCTTGAAATGGGTTTCTGGGTTTCTTCGTGAGCAAGGAAGAGTAAGTCAAGGGACAGTCTTGAAGATAAAAAAAAATGAAGGGTCTTTACGGGAGAGATCAGAAAAATGTGGTCTGTGACACTATAGGGTTCTTCATCTTTTGCTTCAAAAGAAAAAGAAGAGGAAAGTAATGAAAGTCTGGAAGTGGCGTGTGGCTTGATCATGGGAATTGGATGGTCAAATTGTTTTCCAAAATAGCATGGAAATGGAAAGGGAAGCCATTATGTGTCAGCTTTTCAAAGCTTTCTAATGCTATTTTAGGAAGCTTGTATTAAAGCCTTTCTTCTACATTGTCATCACATTTCATTAATTTTTTATTTATTAGTTGAAATCTAATAATAAATACAGAAGAAAATAATTTTAACATAATAACGGGTTGGCTTAATGGTCAAGGAGTTTTCTAGTTTTTAAAGTTTAATGGATCCTAAAGATTAGTTAAAGTGCGCGCAAACTGGTCCGAATACTTGTGTTATCAAAAAAAAAAAAAAAATTAACATCATAAAATACTTGAACTTCTAATGTCAATTTTGAAATAAACTATGAACATTTTTCAGTCTAGAATAATAATAATTATTAATGGAATTAATAATAATACACTATGATAAAAGATAGAACCTTTATTATCCTTGTCCATTTTAATATTTCTATTTAATGATTTGGAATTAATTTTTATCCTTTTCATGTTTCAAAATCCTTATTGTTTGATAGCATTATAACTAGATATATAAAGCAGAATAACAAAATCACTCTGTTTTAGGGTCCCCTGTTTCAAACTCTGTTCATTACAGAGAATTAATCCTTTTAGTAGCCAATATGTAATCTACCAAAAGAACCTGATCAACGGCATTGATTTTGAAATGAAATAACCAGAAATGTTTTCTTATAACGCTAACGTATCAGTTTCAAAAAGCTGTCTAAAATGCAAATCTTCTAATGACAAGTTCAGCACTTATGGTACCCCAGAAACTCATCACAAATACAAGTGCTATGCTTATGTAGAAACAGCTCAGTTTATGTTCATTGGCTCCACTATCATTAGTCACAGTGCAATTTTTTAGCACCGGAGGTCCACAAAGTTCATTGTCGCTGAAATAGGATGCATCGAAGCGTTGTAATTGACTGTTTGAAGGAATTTTCCTGATCAAGTTGTTATTCGATAAGTTCAAGTGACTACGTCAAATTTGACATACTTTGTGGGATGTTACGAGAAAGCTGATTTCCGGATAAATCAAGGGCCTCTTATAGTCTTATAACATCTATACTCTCAGGAATTCTTCTGGTGAAAAGATTGTGACCAGAATGCTCCAAGTTTTTCTTACTTCTGCTGGAATTTCTCTTGTGAATTTATGTTTGGAAAAGTCTATAAGTCTAATCAATCTGGCACTGGTAGTATATACAACTGCTTTTCTTTTCATTACAAGGAATGCATCCAGAAGAAAACCATCAGTTGAAAGAAAAGCATGATCATATCTATGTATTCAGTAACAAAATCTTCATAGTAACTCTTGGTTGTCATGGCACGGAAATTACTGATACACCTTGGAATTGTTCCAGAAACTTTGTTGTAAGCAAGATCTAAGATATTGATTGGTTCAATTCGACACTGAAATCCAAAAAATTCTAGTACATCTGAAACACATCAAGAGAAAACATCAAGGGTATCAGATATTGATTGGTTCAATTTGACACTTGAGATAGAGATTGACCTTCAGTTGCAAAGTCTTCCCATTGATTTTGGGATTCCACCTTCAAATCCATTTGATGAGAGATCAAGGTTTTTTTTTTTTTTTTTACAAAAGTCAGATTCCCTAGAGAGCCTATCGTGCCTCCAAAGCTATTTTCTGCAAGAAAAAGCTCCTCGAGATGTCTGAGTTAAAGAATTGAAACCATTATAAGATAATTGAAGATGTTTAAGGAACGTTAAGTTTTGAAGTGCATTTGGGATTGGACCTTCAAAATGACTAAAACTCAGATCAAGGATTTCAAGAGAGGAAAAATTTACAGTGGGTTTGTTGAGGGAAGTGATAGAATCCACAATCTATCAAGTTTAACACAGGTAAGGAAGGGAGTGTGTTTATCACCTGCAGACAATAATCAGAGGATCTATCCTGCCATGGAGGCTAAGTTATTACAAATCAGAGAGATTTCCCAGTTCGTGAGGAATCATCCCCTGAAACTCATTCACAGAGAGAGATTGAGAGATCTTAAATTCTGCATAGAACCAAGATCAAGTCAAGGTGTTGAGATTTTAGAGTCAAATTCAATTCAAATTAGTATTGCGTTAGGAAAAGAGTTTTCCTAGTACACTTCTACCTAGAATTGTTTTTGATTTTAAATAAAATAAATTAATGTCTACGTGGCTCCTCTTAATTCCAAAAATATCCCAAAACTATATATAAACCCTCTTTCTTTCTCCCCCTCAACTCAATCTCCAACGTACCAAAACCCTAATCCAAAAATATCTCCCCCAAAAATTAAAAAAACCATGACCTCATCCACGAACAGCACCAGCAATTTGGAAGATCTCCTGCTTCAGACCTTGATGGGTCTCCTTCAAATCAGGCCACCAAACGGCAACGTTTCCGATCCTTTCCGCTCTCAACAGTCCCTCGAAGACCTACTCTCTGACGCAGCCAATCTCTCAGATTCTTCATCCGTTGGCGACTCAAACAAAACCCAACTCTCCAAAGAAGAATCGAAGCTCGAAGAAGAGATAATCAAGATCATCCTGTCCGGCAAGATCGAATCGCTTAAGCCCAACTCGGGCCAAGCTGTTACGATAGGGGAACGCCACATCTGTGTCGGATTTCATGAGGAAACGGGTTCGGATTATCGGGTCTGGGAGTGGCACGGGCATATAATGCTTTTTGACATGGAGACTGGGTACTCGCCTGAATATATATATGGGAATTATTTTGAGAAGTTGCATTAATTATTTTAGGATTTTGGGATCAGTGTTTATTGTTATAAATACTAACTGGACATAAAGTCCTAAAGTACTGCATCTCTATTGTCAAATTTGAATAATTTTCTATCCTGAATAATTATATTTTTTGTTGAAATTTTATTTCAATTAAGATTGTAATGGATTAGTGTCAGATTTATTTATTTATTTTTTTTTTAATGAAATCCTCCATATGATCATTGATCAATGACTTGAAGTACATAAAAGGATATTGATTCAAACATTAAATAACCAGCAATTTTTTGCTACAGCACTCATATTCGTTTCAAAATCTGCCTAAGAAAATGATAATGCACAAATCTAAATCTTCTGATTAATGTTTAAGGACCAATTACAACCTAGAAGGCAGAAACTCATCATAAATACTATAGCCATGGTCATGTACAGCCAGCCCACTTCATGTTCATTGGCTCCAGTATCAGAAGTCACAGTAAAACTTTTGGGCAGTGGAGGTCCACAAAGTTCATTGCCACTGAAACAGGATGAATCGAAGCCTTGTAATTGAATGCTCAGAGGTATTAATAAGTTCAAGTGACTCAAAGACAACAAGTTTGTCATGCCTTGTGGGATGTTACTTGAAAGCTGATTCCAAGATAAATCAAGGGAATCTTAATAGTCTCAGAAGTCAGAACACCAATACTCAAGGAATTCTTCCAATGAAAAGATTGTGTGACGAATTCAACAACTTCAATGCTCCAAGTTTTGTCATTTCTCTAGGAATTTCTCCTGTGAATTTATTTTTGGAGAGGTCAATACTTCTTACCAATCTAACACTGGTAATATATACAGTTGTGCATTCAACAGAAAACCATCAATCGGAATATAAGCATGATCATATCCATATTCAATAACAAAATCTTACAAAGCAGCCCTTGGTTGTCATGGCACTGAAGTTATTGATACATCTTGGAATTGTTCCAGAACGACAAATTTCTGCTGGTAAAACACCATCGAACTTATTTGAAGGAAGGTTGAGAATCAACAGTCTTAAAAAACTTTCTCCAACCCAAGCTGGAATGTTTTCAGCAACTCATTTTCACTAACATCAACTTCTAGTATCTCTGTACAACTTTTAAGAGACACTGGTATCAGTCCAGGGATGTTGTTTTCAAGAAAGTATAGTGATCTAAGTGAACATAAAGTTCCAGTGGAGGTTGGAAGGTTACCAGAAAATTTATTGTTATCTGAATTCAAGCTTGTCAAGTGTTTCGAATTCATCCGGCAATCTGGTAATTTTCCATCTAAAAAGTTTTTTCTAAGAGCTAACTTTTCAATCAGGTTCTTTTACTCATTCATTCCATAACACAAGAAATGGGAAGCATTACTGGAAAGATTGGGTGGAAGGTATAAGAGGCAATGAAGCTGACAAATTGTTATGAGCTCAAATCTAGTAAATTAAGTTGAGTCAACTCGGTTAAATTCGGAATTTTCCCTTAAGAGTTTGTTCTAATATAGATTATATAGATATATTGGAAAGGAAATTCAAATAAATAAATTGAAAGAGTATCTGAAATTCCTAAGTCTGATATATCCATAGAAACTAAATCCTTCTGTGAATGGAGCCACAATGGGAATTGAGGTCCTACATGACAAGATCTTAGTCCTAATAGTTGGAGTTTAAAAGGAGGGATCCCCTGAGGATCGGCTCTCAATCTAACTGGATTTCCAAACACATAAAAAACAGACAATCTTTTGAGATCAGCAAAATGGACACAGAAAATTTGCATTCAGTTTGTTATATGACAGATCTAAATATTGCAACAATGAAAGTTCTCCTAAAGATAGGATAGGACCAGAAACATAGTTATAACATGAAATTCTTAACTTGTCCAAGTTGATCTGTTGACGGACCAAAAAGCTGGTTCTCACTCAAATCCAGAAACTCTAATCTGTGTGAAACACATTCTGAGAGAATATCCAGGACTTGGGAAATCTCTTGGTTCAGTTTGATACTTGAGATAGAAAATGATCTCAATTTGGAAAATCTTCCCAAAGATTTCTGAATTCTCCCTTCAACATTATTATTTGACAGATCAAGTGTTTTGAGAGAAACTAAGTTCCCTAGAACACTGGAAATTGTACCAAGGAAATTATTGACCTTAAGAGAAAGGTCGTCGAGATGACTAAATTTATACAACCACTTTGGTATTGTAGAACCAAACTGATTGAATGATTAATCAAGATGCCGCAGAGATGTCAAATTTTGAAGTCCGTCTGGAATTGGACCTCAAAAATAATTATCACTTAGCCCAAGACTAGTAAGGGATGAAAAATTAGCAAAGGACAGCGGAGGAAAGCGAGGAAGTTCATAAAGAAGGAAGTGTGTTCATCACCAAGAGCCAGTCAGAGACTTTCCTAAGGTCCACGTCACTCGGATCAAGGTGCTTCAGCAAATAAAGACCAGATAACCAACTAATACTCAGCATAACATTTTGACTGAGGTCAAGATATTGCAGATTAGAGAGATTTCCAAGATGGTGTGGAATCATTCCTCCAAATCCAGCATTGGAGAGATTCAGGTATCATAGATTTTTCATAGAACAAAGAAATCTGGGAATTTGACTTCGTTCAAAATTGTTACCACTTATGACCAAGTAGATCAAAAGTTTAAAATCAAGCAAGGAGGAATTTATCTTATCACCAAGCTTTGACCTCGCATAAGATTCAAAAGTCAGCATATGATGGTTTGTGATAGGCAAAAGGTTTTCATGGGTGGAGCTCAAGGACATGGCCAGTAGACCTCCTGCATACAACATCTGCCCATGTGCGACAATCTCCATCACCAATCCAAGAGGCAAGCTGACTGGAAGGATCTATGAGATCTTACTTCAACCTTAAAAGTGCTCATCTTTCGCTTTTGATGTAACCTACATAAGAGCTTCCATTTCAGAAGCTAATTTTGATTGTTGCTATGGCTAGCAACTCAAACAAAAGAAACTTGATGACACTCATGGCAACTTCTGATTGGCAAACACCTGCAAATAGAAACTGCATAGAAGGGAAATGAGAATGAGACTTTTATCAGTAGACTGCTATTTATGATTTTTTCTAAACCTAGACTGCTATTGGTAAATTTTTTATTGCTAACTTATGTTAGTATACTACTACTAAATAATTTCAGCAAAGAAACACAAGATAGCTTCTAAGAATATGCCATCAAGGTCAAGATATGGGAAATTAGAGAAGTTTCCAAGTTGGTGTGGATTTGCCCCCCCAAAAGGAGCATAAGAGAGATAAAGGTATCTTAAATTCTGCATATAACTAAGAAATAAAGGAGCCTGAATTCCATGAAAATCATTATCGCTCAAGTCCAAGGAGCGCAAATGCTTTAAATCAAGTAAAGAAGGATTTATCTTACCACCCAACTCTATCCTCCAATCAGCTTCATTGTAAGGATAAAATGTATCATCTTTCAAACGAGGAGGTGTAAGGCTGAGCTCTAGGACATGGCCTGCCAAGTTGTCACAAACAATGCCAGACCACATACAGTATAATATATGTTGCAATTTTCAACACAACTTTAGTAATCAATAACAGTCTGTGAATCAAAATGAGCATCATGGTGTTGTCAGTAGGCTGCTATATATAAATCTCTTTTATTGTCATCATTAGAACCCAATGATCCCTGTAGCATAAAATTACCCCAGCTCATCCACTGACCCTAACAGTGGATTTAAGAGTAAAATTATGATAGACCTGCATCAAGATTTCAAGGAAGAAGAGAAGGCATGTATAAGCGTCAAGAACTTTTATCCGTATAGTATATCCATTGAACATTGTGAACATCAGTGCTACATGGAATAAAGAAAGACAAGCTTCACTATATGTAACTACAAACATAACATAACATCAGTTTCTCGCATTCAGAAATTAAACCATCTTCACTTTACCATGATTGGAATGTCAGAATAATAAAAAGGAGAAGCTTATCAGATTTCTGTGATGCAAAGGGCTCAAGTACAATGTTGTTTACACTAAGATCACCGTGAATCGATAACAAAAGTGATACACAGTGAACCTGATAGATGTAGCTAAATGCTAGACTATAACATATCATGTTAATCTTCGAATTCATTCCGATGTCAATGGATAAAAACAGGTCATTTAAGAGCAAATCTTGCAGCTTTCAACTGTGCCAAGGTCCTCTCAAGCTTACCAACCCGTTCTTCAAATTGCAATTCCAGTATCTCCATTGCATTTTTACAGCCATCTCTTTCACCATCCTGCATCCTCACCTTATCATGATCTTGATCACTTGCTTTACTATCAGTTGCAAGTTCACTAAGTGCCTCTGGTACAACTTCCACAATCTCAAGTTCATCCTGCATCATGTTTTCTGCCAATTTTGTCTGTGGATCAATTGTGTAAACAGCCTCATCACCTATGGCTAAAGAGGATATTTTTTGAGATTGACTTGACGTATGTTTAACATCTGGAACCTGTCTATTATTCCCATCATCATGCTTTATGCTAGATTTCATAAAATCTGCAATAGTCATATCACACTCTTCTGCTGAATCTTTTGCTTCAGCCACAATAGATTTTGGAAGGAAAACCCGGAGGAACCAAGGAATCACTCCCTTCCCTCAAACTCTTCAGCATGGAACTAGAATGAGTAGAGGTACCATCAATTTTATTCATTCCATCAAACCTCCTTGGTGTCATTTTAAACCTTTTGATAAAGTTCTTTGCATTTGTTCCTCCCAATATCTTTGCAAAAACTCTAGTAACATTTCTTACAACACTGCCCAGTTTGTCTTGGAGACTATTCAAGAATTGGCAATACAAGTATCTCCATCTTCGGCTGACAAGTAGAGAACCTATAAAACTCCAGAATCCCACAGATAAATCCGTGCAATGCTCACAAAAAACCAGTTCCTTCATCTTCATTACCATCTTTCTCTCCTTTTTCTGATTATTGATTGTTGGAGTAGGCACAGTACATTATTAGAAGTGGAGGTCCACAAAGGTTTCCTGTAAAACAGGATGCATCAAAGCCACTAATTGAGTGCTTGAAGGAATTCTTCCGGTTAAGTTGTTGTTAACAAGTTCAAATCACTCAAAAACGTCAAACTTGAATGTCTTTGTGGGATTTCACCTGAAAGTTG